TACCTACTACAATGGAAAACTAACTAGGCAGTACCAATAAACATAAACCTAAAGGAACAAGCTCTCTATATCTTATTTTCTATGTTTAAAGGAGGGTGCCCGTAAAAATGTGAGGGTCCTGTTTGGCCACACACTCTGAACACTCCAAAATCTGGCACTGGATTAACTTGTATGCAAGGTTCCTTGTCCCTTACACACAATCCTGTGTTGATTATGCAGAGTAGTAATTTTTAGTGGGTATACAGTTGGATACATTGAAATTCTGCTGATTGGATTCCAATTAATTTGATGTCAAAATTGTCACTGCCAACAGTTCCTGGGTCACACAAGAGGTTAAAGTCAAATCAGGTCGATGGCAATGGTGAGGTTGTGTGACATCAACTCAATGATACTATATTTTGCAGTGGACTGGATTGTTCACCCATAGATCACCATGTGTCACTAATTGACCTAATTGTTTGGGAACATTTCCATCCATTACAGTATCTTAGAAACCTCAATGTTTTATGGCCATTTTCCATGCTTGTGTGGGATAGCTGCAAAAACCTAATGGCAATTGTTGGGTAAAACCAATATGAGATGCCCTCCCACTTACCACTACAGACCCAGGGCACCAGCCCAGAAAATGCAGCAGAGTCCAGGAGATGGGCACAACTCTGGTGACTCAATTGCCATCGGACATGTTGAAGCAAAATTTTGTAGCCTAATGCCAGGCCACAGGGTGGGAACTGATGGCAAGGATCCCTGACTCTGGGATGCATAAAAATTCAATAGAAAGATTGGAAATTTTTACCCAGGGGTCTCAGACATAAAATTTTATGCTACTGAATTTCCTGTAGATACAGGAGTAATGGAATAGTTTTTCATAACTGGTCATTGTCTGTGATTGTCTTAAACAAAACATTATCCTTCACAGTTGCAATATTTATTTTGTTATACTTCTGCATACTGTACTGTCAGTGACACCACTAATAAATTACTGGTGCACACTTAATTACTGATAATTATTAGCATGTAAGTTAATTTATTCGGTTTTTA